ATTCCTAATGTAAGAATTGTTTTAAAGATAATTATGTATTCTTGCTTTGAGGTATAAGAATAGAATCCATCCTTAGCTTTTAATATCTGTTGGGCATTAGGTTGGGCTCAGTAGATACCGGGAAGAATAAGATCCATTTGCTTACTTCCCTCACAGAACTCATGATGACAAACAGGTATTAATGAACTTTGTGTGCCAGAGGAGATGCGAGTAGTTCAGTCCATCAGGAGCATGGGTGAGAGGGGAGAATTGTTGACAATCACGCATTGGTAGCTTCCCAACTGTTGATGCTGTGTTACATAATTGAGTGCAATTCTCTAATCATTGAGGGGCCATGAAATCTCTTAAACTGGGGAACAGCATCGTCAGATATATGCTGGAGAAATTCCTCAGGAAGTCATACATAAGAAGGATCACCGTCAGAGAAAGGATAGGAGGATGTGACATTAATCTGGGAGATGGAAAAAACCTGATTTAGGGCGTGGCTGTGGACATGGTGATAGATTCGCGAGTTACCGAAGAGCTAAAATCAGGCGGATATAGTGAATCATTTTTTATGGACAAATGAGTCAAGTTTGACTCTTTAGGTGCTGATCTGACAGATATGATTCATGCTAACTAAAAAACAAAACAAAACAAAGTGAGTAAAAGATGAGGTTTGGGACAAAAACATATAATTTATATTTTAAAATTCATCTGTAAGTGAGTGAGTTGTTCAGAATTCACGTGTGTTTATGAGTATTTGTTGAATATATAGAAAGAAACACAGATAAAACTATTTCCCAAATAAATAATAACCAATAAGTATTTGGGCACTCAATATTATTATAAATACTTTCTAAGTATCAGTTAACAAATTTAACAACTCTTGAAGTAGGTACTGTTTCACCCATTTTACAGAAAAGAGGAAGGGTACAGAGAAATTAAATCATTTTCCCTGTGTCACACATGTCATAGGAATGAATCCCACATGGTCTGGCTTGTGATGATCTGCAATCACTCAGCACTTGATGCTGCCTTTTCATGATATAAATGGTAAGTAAACTTACAACCTGGCCCACAAAATTCTACTTCATTATATTTTTACTTAACAATAGAATTACTGATATTATCTTGACTTTGAGGGCTGGAATGAGGGCATTTTCCACTACAGAAAAATAAAAATTACTTTTTCTTGCCTAGGCTTACTTTTAAAATAGTCAAATCACATTTCACATACTTCTGCATATTACAGTTCCTTAAAAAAAAAACTTACTCACCACATGTCTTTGCCTAATCATTGAGATATTGGTAAATAACCTTCTATTGTTTCTCTCATGAAGTCCAATTTCCTTCATTCGATTTCAAGTTCTTTAATCTTACCCTGCTATTTACAACCAATGATACCTCTTATTCCTTCTCAGCATCTGGATGATACTGCTATTTGGTACAACCTAGTCTTGTTTACTGATCAGCTTCTTCCACCTTCCTTGCTCGGGCAGGTCCACATCTAAGGGTTCTTAGTCCCTCGGGGCATTCTGCCACCTCCACCTATCACAGAAGCATCCACCCATGCTCACAAATTAGTTTTCTCCCTCAACACCCATTTTATTACCACCTTCACTGTACCCCATTCATCCTTCTGAGCACCTGATCCTTGCTACCTTTCAAGAAAAAAAAAATTTGAATTAATTTACACTTCAAGGATTCTAAAATATTTATAGAGTGTCTACTGAGTGCCAGGAACTGCGAAATCCCAAAGGACATAAGACAAAGATTTCCATTTGGCTTCAGCCCTCCAAGAGCATTTGATCTATTGGGAGAGAGAGAGACACAAATAATCTGACAGAACACGGTAGGATAATCATAGCACCAGCAGTGTAAGCAAAGCACAAAGGAGAGAATTGATTCCAGCTCCTGGGTGTGTCGACTTGGAGGAAACAACTTTTGAGTTGTGTCTTGAAAAGGGGCATTTCCCCATGTAGAAACGTGAGAAGAAATGTGTGGAAAGCAACAGTATGAAAGCATAGACATGTATTCTATTGCTCTGATCTAGAAATAAACAGTAATTTGTATTTCAGACACCATTGCCAGACTTGGGCTTCTTAAACTTCAGTTTCCACCACTTCCCTCTTCTCGTCAAGATTGCTAATAGCTTTTCTGTGCCTCTCTTATTAACTTCAGTTTCTCCCATCTGGCTTTCAAGATTTCCTGTAATTCATCTCTGCCTTTTATAGACGATGTTATATACAATGTTATATGCTCCTCTTTAAAATGTAAATGATAGCATTATTTGGTGTTTACTGGTTTTGTTTTGTATATCAGAAGGATCTAACTGCCCCTAGTTCTGCTGGCTTCACACTGAACCTAACCAAACAGGTACTCTTTGATTTTGAGGAAGCCACTGAAATAGCAGCAGTAATGCATGCAGTCACCCTGGTTCATTTCGTCTAACTGCCCCTAGTTCTGCTGGCTTCACACTGAACCTAACCAAACAGGTACTCCTTGATTTTGAGGAAGCCACTGAAATAGCAGCAGTAATGCATGCAGTCACCCTGGTTCATTTCTCAGGTAAAGCTAAGCATGTCTGTGGGTAGCATCACATTTCTGTTTCTGTTAAGTCGTGTTCCAGTGAATACAAGTAGAGTTCAGTATGTAACCAGTAAGAATCAAAATGAAAACACGGAATTGCAATAAGGCATAGCCAGCAGATCTCCAACCTGCAGATCCCTGAAAACATGCCTGCAAATGCCAGAACTGAAGAAAAGTGTGGGTTTCTTTCATCTGGAGAAAGTACATTTTAGTCTCATATTCTGTCTGCTTTTAATGTAAACAGTATATATCTCTAGCAAATTGACAGAGGAATATCAGGTTAAACTTAGAATTTTCCGTTGCAATTTGCTCGGGAGTCTGTGCTATCAGTGTAGTGTCTGCAAATTCATGTCACATTTTAAAGTGTTCTTGAGTTGTTTGCCTCATTTCTATGAATTGTGAAATATTTAAAAGCATAGGATTTATATGAACACTAGTTCTGCATATGTCTTTTAATTTTATGCGTTTTTCTAGAGTTAGTTGTTGAATCATTCCCTTTATTTGGTTTTGGTTATATAGTGAAACGGTGAGACTTGAACAGTGTGCTTGTCCTTAGCTAACAAGAACCAACGTTACTTAAAACAAATGTGCCTGTTTCTTCCTCTGAGCATCTTCAAGTAAGATCTATAATCACACATTGAAAAACATGTTGTGCATTCTTTAGGTACATACAAAATCTACAAATATTCCTAACTATAGGCCATGAATTTCAAAAGGGAAATAAAAATAATCTTCAGCAGTAGAAACCTGGGACATTTGAAATAATGAAATACAAGGTGCAGGTTATATCTGATGGAGCTTTATTTTGCTGTTCATGGAGGTTTAGAATAGACAACACCTTACTTGTTACTGTTGCCAAATTATCAAATTTAGGAATCCCTATTACTGTTAGGTATCTACAAAACACTAGACTAGCACTACTTATCACTACTTATTAAACTTCGTGCAATAGGTCCAATTCAATTGGGTCAATTAATTATATTTATTTTAACCTCAATGTCCATCAGAAGAGATCTTTCATTATTTAATTACAGATTTAATTACATTCAATCACTGAAAAAAAAATCCTCTTACAGTACTTAACTCTAATGAGGCTCACAGAAGCATTCCTACTGAAATATTTTATTCTCCTGCCCATATTCTTCAAGCTATGCTGAGATGCATTAGACAGCAGAGTAAGAGCAGCCAGGTGGGGACTACTGTGAGATACCAAGACAAGACGAAGAGGATCGTGTTCCCTTCAGAGCAGCTTGAAAATTTTCCAGTCCCCATGCACTGTCTTTCATCATTTCTTAACACATCTGTAGAAATGATTTTTGCATATAGAAATTTGATACTCTTTGTGTCTTCTTTTCAGGAGCTTTTCAAAATTGATATTGTTTTCATTGTAGCTAATGATATAAAACAAAGGGTAAAAGTAAGAGATAAGTGCTTCAACAAAAATTGTTAGTGATGATTACCATAAATATTAAAATATAATTTTTAGTGATGAAACTTGGATATCTTTAATAATGGCTTTATAATTTTGGAGGAAAAAGAGTTCTGACAAAATAGTGTATTTTTGTACCACTTACAAATCTTATACTTCTATGGGATAATTTGAAAATTTCAGGGTTCTCCCTCAGTGTTCCAGACTATATAGTTATCACTGTGTGAACTTAACAATAGTGTTTCTTGTTGCTTCTTTTTGCCTTGCATCTTTGACCATCATGTTCTCCATTAGCATGTATCAGGGATGGGTGGGGGACAGGACACAATTTCAAGAGTACCTTTGAAGTTCAGTTCAGCCTAGCATGAGTGTGATAGCACCTCATCTATCACTTGCCTATTATTCTCATTTTCTTGAAACATGTTTAGATGTTAAGAGTTTGTAGAGCTTAAAATGGTGATGTAGAATAAAGAATGCTTAGTTTTCTTCATTTCAGGTTGAAGTTGGAATGATCACTGAGTCAGTGTCAATATTAAACAAGTCAATCAGACAACCAGCTTTATCGCTTTTTCCATTTGCATTGGATTCTGTGTTTGCATAGTCCAGTAGCCTAAAATGCAAAAATTGTCCATGTTGATCTACTCCATCCAATGTTTAAAATATTTGTCAGGGTCCAATGCCAAAATATTTCCTTTCTCATGCAAATATTCTTGGTAGTACCATGTAGTAGTATTTTCAGGAGGAAACTAAAAAATGTTTCTAACTAAGATGTTGACAATATAGCTCTTTGAAGACACAGTCTTCTTATTTTGTAATAATTACAGTGGGATTATGTCAGTGTGCAAGAGGATGAGGGGAAGCAAAAGATTATTTTTTCTCCATACTCTAATTGGCCCACTGAAATATTTCAATAAAACTTTCTCTCTTCTCATGATATTGTGTAAGAAAATAAAGAATGCATAAGGGATGTAAAGGAATCCGCCAATGATTGGAGACAGAATTTTCTTTACATTGTCTAATAGACTCATTTATTTTTTTAAGCTGGTAGAAAGAGACTTAAGATTCGTGTTGAAGAAAGAGTTATTTGTGCTTGATACATTGAAGACACTGTTTCAAAAGCAGTTTGTCCTTATAAAATGATGACCCCTGTAGTAATTCTTAGGCAAGGAGGGACAAATTCAACCAACAAAAAGCACATCTCGCCCCAAGTTCCCCATGATTTCTCCACATATAGCAAAAAAATACACATCAGTAATTTATTTGTACATGCACATCAGCGAGTAGCACAGTTCTAGGCTACTCAGGAAACAAAAAGGAGAATATCAGCATTACCTAAATAAAAGAGAGAGGTGTATTACACCATTTTAATTGTCTTAGAAACACGGATAAGAAGAGCAATTAAAATATATTCCTAAACAGTACTAGCTAATGTAGATTACATAAGTATACAATATGATTCAACTAATAGTGCTCTGACAAGCATAAACCACCAGTTCTAGTAAACAAGGCCCAGATCAATTGCTGAGAAAATGTTAGATTCAGATGTAATAAAAGTTCCTTTTATTTCAGTACTGAATGCAAAACACAGGTCAAGTGTGAAGACAGCATTCTAAAAAAGGTGGCTCTGTTAAAGAAAGGAGGCCATTTCCTTTGCATTTTTATAATTTTGGAATTCTATTTTCGACGTTCACTTTCTCTACTTTTCCTCCCCTGAGCACTAATTTATCAAAAAAAAAGATTTCAAGGTGCAAATTGTACATTCTTATCATTATACCATCTCATCTCTTTCTGGAAGAGAATTTTACAATCAGCATTACAATGTTAATTCTTTTTCTCTTAATATTTGTTTCACATACATGAATCAAAATCATAAAGTTGATCGGGAAAAGAAACCTACAAATGAGAGTGATGTAGTCATACACTTCCTATTGTGCTGTGTGTCTTTCCCATCCCTTCTCCCCTTTCCCTGTAAAGAGCTGTAAAAAATTTAAGGCAGATGAGGTATATTGCTGAAGAAAAAGTTATTTTTGAAAAAAAAACTCAAAAAAACTTTATTCTGCCCTTCTACTCAAGAAAGACGACTCAACTATAAATCTAGTGCTAGAAAAAAGCAGGAAAGACACCGTTTGCATGTACCATACTATGTCTTCTATTTCTAGAATGGCTTTTTGTTAATTTAATTTTAATAGAAAAAATAAGCACCTTAAGCTATGAACAAGAAAAGAACTTCATTATTAGTGAGTCTAGAATCCAAACGGAATTAAGAACACTCACTCAACTCTTTCACTCATTCTCACAAAGGCCAATGCTACTGATTAGAATTGTAAAGTGCTGTACTGAGTATAAACACTTGTATACACTGCAGACACTGAAAAATAACCCTCAAGCACATTGTGTTATAGTTCCAAAAATATATTTACAGTCTATTACAAAGATTACAAATGGAAGTGTCTAGGTGACTGTATTATGCTAATTAAAATTATTTTTACAGATTACTTTTCCTTAGGGACAAAAAACACTTTAGTGAAATTAAAATGATTTTTCTAGTCAATCAAAAAATAAATTAAAATATCAAATAACACTGTACAGTGATTTAAAAGAAAAAAAAAAAAAGGGTGGGGAGGGGTTTGGGAAGCAATCCATTTGAGTTTTTCTATAGCCATCTTTGGTCCTAAATGTGGGAAAACACATTATGTAGCACTGAAAATACCTGTTCTTTTGTGATGCTCTGCAAGTAAAATAGAAAAATATAGTGCATTTTCAATGTATTCAGAGCCCACTACAGAGAAATGTGTGTACAAAACAAGACAGTATAAATAAAATTTACAAGTTTTACAAAAGAACATTTACAGATTTTGTTTCTGTTATTTGTTTGTTTGTGGATGCCCACATTATCAAACAAGACCAATTATGACCGATCCCTGGGATCTTTCTGTATTAAAATCATTATAAACAACCCAATTCTCTTTGGAAGTACAACAGTTCAATTCTGGGGTGGCTCATGATTTTCATAACTTTTGAAATCATTACTTATAATATGTATACATTCCTGTAATATCTATAAAGACACATTTAATTATTGCTTATGAAATTCTAATAAAGTAATCAAATAATATGGTTTAATAAATAAAGCATAAGAAAAAAAGCCAGATCCTTCACCTCTTCCTTATAAGGGCAAAAAAAATTCTTTCATTTAAAAAGTTTCTTGCATCAGTGTTCACAAATAAAAGACTTTTTTTGTTTTGTTTTGCTTTGCTTTAACTGCAAAGGTGATATTCTGTGCAGCAAATTTGTTTTCGAATGATGAAAATTGTGAACTGCCCCTTTTTATCATGCTTCAGAGTTCTAACATAAAACTTGATTCTTTCCTTTCATGTTTGGACTGCATTCAACAGAAGAGGATAAAAAATATAGGTCAACTATTACTCCTAAATTTCCTAATGTCACAAGACTGAAAAAATCTTGATGTGCTCAGATTAAATTTTAGGTAACACTGGAGAGTTCTTGCTTTCAGAGACTTGCCTACACCAGCTTTCTTCAGATGAGGTGCCTCATCTTTTTTACTAAATAGTCACAAACCTAAAATTTGAGTATTTTTTTTTATCATTAAATTCTATCTAGTAAAATCACTCTACAAACAATCTGTTAAAAGTGCCTTATAGTATTTATGGATCATTATTGCTTTTTTTCATTGAAAAGATAATGTGTTGTTTTATCTTTACAAAAAAAATTTCCTTTTAAAAAATATCAGAGCTCTTGGCAACTTGCATTTTCTTGACGACCTGCCAATTAGCAAACAATATCAAACAACACAGATTAAGCAAAATAAAATGGCACAGAAAGGATACCAATGTTCTGACAGAGATATATCTTCAATCATGCTATGATTTTTTAAAATTTGAGCTTCCTTCAAAGGTACCCAGTGTAGTAATGTGTAATAGATTTAACACTAAAAAGGTCCAAAGTTATAAACAACTTTCTAAAACAAAGTCCTTATGAAGAATAAACACAAATGATTTTTTAAATGAATAGTCTGAAATCACATATTTAAGGAAAATATTTCATTGATTTTAACAATTAGATCATGATTTTATTTGACAAATATATTCTCTCTTAAATTTTTTATGTACACTTTAAAAAGTCTATAAGATAAAAAGGAGGTTAGAGAGCTCAAGGTGTTTGGATGTTTTTCAGGTAGTACTTTGTTTATTGTCACTGCTGTTTTTCTGGCCACCAGTGGTGGATCCTAAATTCCCTTTTTATATATTCTGGTGGCACTTAGGAGTTCAAGTCTATAGGTGCTTCTTAAATCTTCTCTTCACTTGTAGAAAGGACCCAGGACATCAACTGTCTTCTAGCAGCATTCTATGCATATACTGAAGGCCAGTACTGTTCACTTACAGTCCGCAATCTCCCTTAGAAGGGAGAAATGCTTATCACACTTGAATGCCAGTTCCATGTAAATGTAGCATTTGTGCCCTCATAGTCTGAATGCTGCTCATGATTTTCTTTTGATGGCCAACCAGCGTGATCCCTAAACTCATCACATCCCTGGAAAAGACAAATGCATTTTTTATTAGGTATCTTACAAAGAATTTATATGGTTCTAAACTGTCATCAACTGTTTAATTAAACAGAGTTTATCTGAGGCAAACAGATCTTATCTTAGTGTTTCTGGGTATTATAACATATTCCTGCAGTGGATCAGAATGGTAACCTGCATCAACATTCTCTTTGCAGAAGCCTAACTGTCCAGGCTCTCAATCGGCCGTGACAGTTATTTTTAAACTGACTTGAAATTTTATATAAAAAATTATTAAAGTCTTAAAATTATTAACTCTAGGTAAGGTTAGGAAATGTTGTTTGAAATGCTGTACTCTTGAATCTCACTGGAGTTTAAAAATTTTTAATTGGAAATGTAAGATATGGTATGAATGGAAACATTTCCTGGCTCCTAGTGGAAAGATTGAGAATCATCAATAATCGCAGAAAATTTTATACTGAGTTTAACCATCATGTGGTAATTCTGAGCATACTGGTTGTATACTCCAGTTCAGCTAAATTACGTGGCTACATGTTAGAGAAAAACTATTTTTAATATATGCAGTACCTACATTTAATAGCTTAAATTTGATTTAAGTTAATTGTATCTGTTTATGTACTTTTACCTTTCCTTATAGCCAGAAAGGTTGAGCTTAGGTATTTACAAAAAGCTAAAATATTGCAATAGTACTGTATTATGGTATTTCATAGCACTGACTTTGAGAAACACAGTATTTCAGAGTTATAGATTACTTCAGAGATCAAGGTGTAAATATGCCAACTTCACTCATGTGGTGACAAGAAGAAAACAGAACAAGATAGCATGCATGTGTTTAAAGTCATGTACAAGACACTTCTTTGTATATAACAGGAAAGAGTATTGGATTGCTGGTTGTCTTCTCACTGAAAAATGTAGAACCCTTCCCATGACAGTACATGAAACAGGATCCCATGAATAGAACCCTGATAACTATTTCCCATTTTCAGACACATTGACTGAGGGTAGGTGCATCACCCATGAGAGTTATGCTGCAATCAGGGAAACTGAGGTTTGGGGACACTAAACAGATTTTATAAGACCACATCATCAGTGATGGAACCAGAAGGGAAAATTTAGTACTTTTAACTTCCAGTTCATATCAATTTCAAACACTGTTTTACCAGGTCATTAAAAAAAAATTGAACCAATCACACACTTTCCAAAAAAGTAAGTTAAACTCTTAGCTACAGTTATGGAAAATTTAGTACTTTTAACTTCCAGTTCATATCAATTTCAAACACTGTTTTACCAGGTCATTAAAAAAAATTGAACCAATCACACACTTTCCAAAAAAGTAAGTTAAACTCTTAGCTACAGTTAATTGAATTAAGCTTCCTTGACCTCTTTAGAAACTAATCATATTAGACATCCTAATGCATTTTGGTATTAGGCATGACATTTTGAGATGTTTAGTAACTAACAACAAAAACATGATGGAAGAAACCCTCCTTTGCAATGGAGAAAGTTTCCTGGGTAAATAGGAACCTAAATGACACAATGGTTAATGCAAGAGAAAGCCTCACCGGCTAGTGTTTAGAACACTGGCTATGGGAGCCATATTACTTGTCACTTACTTAGGTATTTACAAAAAGCTAAAATATTGCAATAGTACAGTTAGTTTAAGGGAAATATTTAAATTATCTGAGCCTTAGCCTCACTTTTTGTAAAATGAGTATAAAACTATTGACTTAATAAAATTGTTGCTGTGAGGATTAAAAAAGATAATGCATGTTTAAAGTTCTGTTTAGTATAATGCCTGGCACATAGTAAGAACTTATTAAAGAAATGCTTTTTTCCCTGATTTTGTGGTTCATATCTTTTTAATATAAAGAAAATAATCTAACATATAAAGTGTGGATTGTATGTAATAAATTCTTAAATATAATTTTTAAAGTTTAAACTTACTCAATAGTCATCCTGGCCACTGACTCAAGGGAGTTGTAGCCAGCTGCTGTGAAGTTATCTTTGTATCTTTCCATCTTAATAGCTTGTAGCCATTCTCCAACTGAACAGAAGGCAGTGAAGTCAGGAGCGTTTTGATCCAGAAGAGGGCTTATTGGCCTAGATATGAATGAAACAGAAAAGCAAATTTTCTCATGAACTACTGAAAAAATAATGTCTTGGCCCATACAAAAATAAGGGTATAAAAATAAAAATAGGTATTTGAATTGGTGTATATAATAACACATAAACGGGAATGCTAATAAAAACCTAAAGCATACAGGCTGCCAAATAACCACAAACTCTTAAATTTCCATTTATTTAGGTGTGATGATCACCAGGTGAGTCTCCTGTGTGTTTTTACAGCCAGCAGTATTTGAAATCAGTAAATACTTGCTCATTTGCTTCTCCAAAAGTAACTGGGAGTAAAAGAAGAACATCTGGCTGTGTTCTAACTTGTTCAAGTCACGAGGGTGCTATTGAGAACATTATGCTTCTGCTGAACTGAGGCACCTTTGTGAGTGCCTTGGGAGTTAATACACTTCTACGAGTGTCTAACCCACCACCAGTACAGACCAGAGCATCAATTACCTGGCAGCTGAAGGTGAATAACAACTAACATGCATTACAATGGAGCAAGCCAAGTGCAAAGAATGGACTGTTTGTAATGGGTATAACTCTTCAATCATGTATTAAATTACTCTTATGAACTAACCTCACAGACTCCTTTTACTAAATAACTCAAAGCAAAACAATGAAATAGATAACATGCATATAACAAAAAACAAAACTAGGGCAGCAGTAATAAAAACCCATGTAATAATAATATTGGTCTGAACATGTGAAATGCCACCTTATCACAAAAATTCAGTTTACAATGTTTTCTAAAAGAGACAGCTAGCGGTATCTATTATAACCTTTAAGAAAAAAGAAAATAATAATTCATAGATTTTCTTTAAAGACTAAATAAGGTAAGCCATCTAAAAATAAATTAAAAAAACCTTCTGTCAACACAATATATTTAATATAAATTTATATTTCAACACAAAAGTTAACTAGCCATTGGGGTGGGGTTGAGGAGATAAATGATTTATGTGAATATCTGAATTTCTTCTAGATTTCATTCCCTTAAATATTTCTTACCTACTACAAGTTCCCAGGGGTGTTTTCAGGCTATTTGGGTTTCGAATCATTTTGTCTAGAATTCCGACTATCTGTTCAAACTTTGGCCTTTCAGCACGCTCCTTTTGCCAACAATCCAGCATTAGCTGGTGAAGACCAGCTGGGCAGTCCATGGGTGCTGGTAAGCGATAACCTTCTTCTATTGCTTTTATAACCTAACAGCCAAAAGGACATTAAAAATATTATTGAGGTTCAATTATAAGAAAATAAATTGCCTGGTAGGCAAAATAATTTATTTAGATAAGAGTGAGGCACACTGCTTTGCAAAAGACTGACTTTTTTCCAAAACATCCATGAATATTAAGCATGTTATTAAGGGGTGTATGAAGTGCAGGATATGATGACATTTCCTAGTTAATTCAGCAATAGGGAGCAGCAATTAAGTTCACCCAGGGTGCAAGAGATGGAAACGTTTTTAATCCCAGAGGTTTTCATAAGTGAACATGTTATGGAACTATTTTACTTATATACATTCGTGAGTGCACATATTTGCCCATAAATTTTAAAATTCTGCAAGTTGTGAAAAGAAATTCTGAAGTTCTGAAAGAAACTACCCACAATGAGCCAAAAAAGATACACTTTGCTGAGTTCAGATGACACTTTTAAACAGGACATAAAAATATGTAAATGTACTATGACAAAATATTATCAAGCACACTATTCTTTTAAATAATATGAAGCTTGGTGTCTAGTGCTGTAAGACACAGTGGTGTGCTGGAGCCAGTTTGTACTGATTCATGAGAGGTGACTACATCCCTTCCCAACTCCAAATTTAGTGACCTCACACTGGCAGATTGAAATCAGTGTGCAGGAAGGGTTATACTAGAAAATTGAGAAAGGTTACAAATTAGGGCTTTCCTACTCAGAGTGCTGGTTTTAAAAATTTTATCAGCACAAAATTCCCTATTTATACCTAATAACAGCTTGAGATACTGTTTATATCAAGCTTTGATTGTTAATGATAAATGAAAAATAAGCTTCTATAAACATTTGTACACGGCAATCAGAAAGTCTAAAAGTTACATATCATTTGGACCTGGTTTTTTAATTTACATGAAAAACAAAAACAGATCATAAAAATCACAAATTGTTACAAATCTGAGCAGCACAGAAAAAAATAACACGAAGGTAAACAATACAAATAAGAAGGGCTTGTAGAATACTAAAATAACATTTAAGGGAATTAACAAATCCTTTGACACTAACTGACATAATAACAGTAGAATTTTTTTAAAAAATGACTTTCTAAAAAAAAAAAGAGGTAACCTTGAGTTTTTGAAAAAAATAAGGCCAAAAGCAGGCAGACAAAAAGCTGGCTTTAAGAAATGTTGATGACCTTAATATTTTTAGAGAAACATATTCTTAAGATGCATGCTGACTTTCAAGAATAGCACATTAAAATGTAAAAGCTTGGAGCATGTAATGAATGAAGTAACTGGCATCAACAATTTTTTGGAGAAAATCTTTTGTATAAGAGGAAAAAAGTCAGACTCCACTTTTTTCTTTAATGTAAGAATAGATGTAAATTCTAAAGTTTAAAAGGTAAATAGATTATAATAATTTAAAAAGTATTTTTAAGTATAAAATCTTAGCCCAAATTCTCTTCTGATCCCTACACTGTGTTTCTATCAGTTTACTAGATATCTTCACCTGGATTTTCCATAGGTACTCTATATATTAGAAATTGAAATTATTACCTTCCCACCAACCTTTTACTATTTCAATTAATTACACTTCCAGTCATCCCAGGCAGAAAGCTGAGAACTGCTTTAGATAACTTCTTTCTCTTATATGCACAGCCTATTAGTCATCACTGTCTGATGATTCTACTTCCTAAATACAACATATACTCACTACTATGAAAAGTAGTTTTACATATATATGTGGAAAGTGATGGAGTCATTATCCCGAATATAAATTTATATTTCAACACAAAAGTTAACTAGCCATTGGGGTGGGGTTGAGGAGATAAATGATTTATGTGAATATCTGAATTTCTTCTAGATTTCATTCCCTTAAATATTTCTTACCTACTACAAGTTCCCAGGGGTGTTTTCAGGCTATTTGGGTTTCGAATCATTTTGTCTAGAATTCCGACTATCTGTTCAAACTTTGGCCTTTCAGCACGCTCCTTTTGCCAACAATCCAGCATTAGCTGGTGAAGACCAGCTGGGCAGTCCATGGGTGCTGGTAAGCGATAACCTTCTTCTATTGCTTTTATAACCTAACAGCCAAAAGGACATTAAAAATATTATTGAGGTTCAATTATAAGAAAATAAATTGCCTGGTAGGCAAAATAATTTATTTAGATAAGAGTGAGGCACACTGCTTTGCAAAAGACTGACTTTTTTCCAAAACATCCATGAATATTAAGCATGTTATTAAGGGGTGTATGAAGTGCAGGATATGATGACATTTCCTAGTTAATTCAGCAATAGGGAGCAGCAATTAAGTTCACCCAGGGTGCAAGAGATGGAAACGTTTTTAATCCCAGAGGTTTTCATAAGTGAACATGTTATGGAACTATTTTACTTATATACATTCGTGAGTGCACATATTTGCCCATAAATTTTAAAATTCTGCAAGTTGTGAAAAGAAATTCTGAAGTTCTGAAAGAAACTACCCACAATGAGCCAAAAAAGATACACTTTGCTGAGTTCAGATGACACTTTTAAACAGGACATAAAAATATGTAAATGTACTATGACAAAATATTATCAAGCACACTATTCTTTTAAATAATATGAAGCTTGGTGTCTAGTGCTGTAAGACACAGTGGTGTGCTGGAGCCAGTTTGTACTGATTCATGAGAGGTGACTACATCCCTTCCCAACTCCAAATTTAGTGACCTCACACTGGCAGATTGAAATCAGTGTGCAGGAAGGGTTATACTAGAAAATTGAGAAAGGTTACAAATTAGGGCTTTCCTACTCAGAGTGCTGGTTTTAAAAATTTTATCAGCACAAAATTCCCTATTTATACCTAATAACAGCTTGAGATACTGTTTATATCAAGCTTTGATTGTTAATGATAAATGAAAAATAAGCTTCTATAAACATTTGTACACGGCAATCAGAAAGTCTAAAAGTTACATATCATTTGGACCTGGTTTTTTAATTTACATGAAAAACAAAAACAGATCATAAAAATCACAAATTGTTACAAATCTGAGCAGCACAGAAAAAAATAACACGAAGGTAAACAATACAAATAAGAAGGGCTTGTAGAATACTAAAATAACATTTAAGGGAATTAACAAATCCTTTGACACTAACTGACATAATAACAGTAGAATTTTTTTAAAAAATGACTTTCTAAAAAAAAAAAGAGGTAACCTTGAGTTTTTGAAAAAAATAAGGCCAAAAGCAGGCAGACAAAAAGCTGGCTTTAAGAAATGTTGATGACCTTAATATTTTTAGAGAAACATATTCTTAAGATGCATGCTGACTTTCAAGAATAGCACATTAAAATCTAACATGCATTACAATGGAGCAAGCCAAGTGCAAAGAATGGACTGTTTGTAATGGGTATAACTCTTCAATCATGTATTAAATTACTCTTATGAACTAACCTCACAGACTCCTTTTACTAAATAACTCAAAGCAAAACAATGAAATAGATAACATGCATATAACAAAAAACAAAACTAGGGCAGCAGTAATAAAAACCCATGTAATAATAATATTGGTCTGAACATGTGAAATGCCACCTTATCACAAAAATTCAGTTTACAATGTTTTCTAAAAGAGACAGCTAGCGGTATCTATTATAACCTTTAAGAAAAAAGAAAATAATAATTCATAGATTTTCTTTAAAGACTAAATAAGGTAAGCCATCTAAAAATAAATTAAAAAAACCTTCTGTCAACACAATATATTTAATATAAATTTATATTTCAACACAAAAGTTAACTAGCCATTGGGGTGGGGTTGAGGAGATAAATGATTTATGTGAATATCTGAATTTCTTCTAGATTTCATTCCCTTAAATATTTCTTACCTACTACAAGTTCCCAGGGGTGTTTTCAGGCTATTTGGGTTTCGAATCATTTTGTCTAGAATTCCGACTATCTGTTCAAACTTTGGCCTTTCAGCACGCTCCTTTTGCCAACAATCCAGCATTAGCTGGTGAAGACCAGCTGGGCAGTCCATGGGTGCTGGTAAGCGATAACCTTCTTCTATTGCTTTTATAACCTAACAGCCAAAAGGACACGTCTTTGGCATATGCTGTCAAGAAATACCTAGAAATAAAAACAAAAGTTACTTGCTGAGAAGAGTTTCTATATTATTACAGCATGACTACTGTAATTAAGAGATAAAGGACCACAGAAAAAACCCATTATAATGGGCCTGTGATAACTCAGAGTGGGATATAAAATGATTGGCTTATGTTCTCTGTTCAATGCTCATTTTCATTTCATTAACCTTACAATAACATGACCCACATTTTATGCAATTACATTTGTTGGACTCCACTTATGGGATTACAGCAAAGTTTAAAAAGAAAAAAATCACAATTTTGTTTCTATCTTAATATGAGAAAATACAAAGTAATAAATCAGTGGTAACTTTTAAAAGGAAAAATGAGGGCTCACATTTTAGCTCTATGAAACATAGTTACAAGTTATATATCTCCAAAGTTCTTAAATGACTTCTAATGAATGAATTTAAGAAATGATCCTTATGTACCATATATCTTTAAGGAATCATAAACTTTTTATCATCCTTATGACTACCTACTAATAAAATTAACAATTTATTGGCCTATCTTAAAGTAAGAAAAAAATACTTTGTTGAGTACTATAACAAAAAAATATATACAACCTATGTAATAAAGAATTTAAAAATTTCATAACCTGAAAGTAAAATATTTTATTTGGACTAATCAAGATATAAATTAAATTAAAAGACAGCTGCTGTGAAAACCAAGAAAGTATTTTCAATCTCTGCAATATTCACATTTGACTATATTTACGTACATAAAGCTTTTTCTTTGAAAGGCCATTAACTGAAAGGGCTAACTATCTGCAGATTTTTCAGAAGACCGGAAGTTGAAAATTTATTTGGAAAGCTTAAGCTCTTGATTTTAATAACAAATAATTAGGTTCAATTGATTCCACTGCAGTTAAAACTCAAGAAAGTTGCAGGCATATGAAAATACAAATGAGTGCTTATGCAAGTGTTAATCAAGGGATAACCTATTTGGGTGTGGGTCTGGTCAAGCGTAGACATATTATCTTTTCCTAAGTTTTTCTCATTCACTGCCCTGTCCAGAGCAAAACTATAGCCTCCTAACTCAGTGACTTGTACACCACTGCTTTTATATTTCTTCAGAGTGTTTACAGAAACCTCACCTTATTCAGCATTCGGCCTGGAATTCTGTGGACTTGCTTAGATATGTAACCATTAATTTACATCTTGTTTTCAGGGTGCCGTATGAAAAGACTTTTAAAATCAAAAGCATTTGAAATTTGAGGGCTTTCTCAAATTCCTGACAAATTCTTAGTGACTAAGTTTAAACAATTTAAAGTGAATTGGTTCATATAATAAGTCCCTCAAGTCTAATTAAAAAAAAAAAAAATATATATATATACACACACACACACACACACACACACACACACTTGAAAATCTGATTAAGTCATATTTCCCAGAAAAAACAATATATTCACATATACACAAGAGTTCCCACGTGTATCATGGTATTCACAGAGCTCCTAAATCTCTCCATGAACCCCGACTGGAGACTACAAGTAAAAAAGATTTTACCTAGAAAATTTTATCCCAGAATGAAATTCATTATTTTGAATTATCCAGTTTTTCTCGATTTGAATATTCAACATTAAATGTGTTTGCTCAAATAGCACTTTAACAGCATAATTAGAAAATAATGAGTATTACCTGAGAAGAGGTATATCAATTTCTCTATAGAAACTGAGCTATATAGGTATCTCTCACTACCATACGAACCTGTGTCCAAATTTAATAATTAATTCAGACTTTCAAAATTAAAAAAAGAAAGACAGTGCCAAATATTCTAGGTCAGAACTAAATTTCTCGGTAGACATAACAATTTCATTTGATCAATAAGAATATTTGTTAATCCTTGGTATAATGATCCCATGTTTATGATGTTCATTTTCAAGAAAAATAATACTAAGGAAATTTTATAAATTAAAATTAGAGATATGTATTTTTTCCTCCTTAACCATTTCTACGACTTGTTTTTGGAAGTTAAGTAAACTTTGAATTTAAGTTATCTCCTATTCCTGTCAGTCCCCTTATGTTTGAATCTAGTACAGAAGGAAGGTGTCAAAAATGAAACTACAGAGTGTCTAGGGAATGTAAATATTTTTCTTTCTCTGCCCCAAGGATTTGTTTGCCCACATTTTGACAGTCCATGAAATCTTTGACACTGAGACCTGTCAAATATTAACTACTTTGCCTCTGCCAAACAGACTCATCATTTAGACTTTTATTTTTGAAAAACAAAAGCAAAATAAACAAACCAAAAAAAAAAAAAAAAAGAAAAAGTTTCATGTCATCACTCAATAAGACTAAAAGAATTAACTGAATTAAAACTTCCCCTTTTCAGGCTGTGAACTTTTTAGTTAATGTGGAAATTTATAAGTAAACATACCAAAAATAACCTTACCAACAAGACTGTGAACAGTCTTACTTTAGTTGCCTAAAAATAGCTATTTACATATTTTAAGAGCCATAAGAACTTGATATGGGCGATTCTAAAATTGAAAATAAAGACACTGATTTAATAGAAAAATTTTCATGTTCTCTTTTTTGCAAAATAACTCCATTTTAACTTCAATTTCAATTTTAACTTCTATTGCTCTCCATGCTTTAATAACTCCAAGAGTTAACTACTCCAAACCAGCTTGCTCGTCAGATCCCTTTTCTAAACAGCAATGTAGACTTTCCTTAAGCACTACTAATTTTTTACTCCACTCTCCAAGAACCTGCATTTGTATCATTTCCAAACTCCTTCCAAAAAGCCTTTCAACAATTTGCCTTAACCTAATCTCCATTTCCAATTAGTACCAGTGTACTGTGTCGCTGTTATATGAAAGTGGGTCCAATTACACCTCACTAAATCTTTGCTTCTGGACTTGCTAATGTGCTCCATTGGAGAATTCTTTCATCAGTTATGAACCATGGTCTTCTCCAGATTTCTAGCTCAATCCAGGGCACTTTCCTAAACTTCATACTTGCTCTACATTTTTCTAAATTTCACTCATATTTTTTATAGATTGAACTACATGAATCTGCCAATATTTGAATAGTAATTTTATGAAATATTAACCTGTAGTTATGCTACATCCCATTGTTTTATAAATGGTCTCCTGGGTGTGAAATGAATACTCACATGAACTTCCATCAGCTTCTTTTCTCAAAGGATAATAAAATGCTTTATGTCTTAGTATGCCCTCATGGCTAGAGGGTATACAAATTTAATAATTCTTATCTTTTAAAAAAATTTTCGAAGGATATTCCCATTGCGATTACATTCTAAAACATCACTATGAAACATTTACCAATATTGATCATAAAATCTAGACTATCCCATGAAATTAAAATTTAATTAAACCAATAAAAACAATAGATAATTTAAAGAGATTTTTTCAGAACATTAAAAAAAAAAAAGAAAAGCTTCAAAGACAAAAGAAAACACAGCCTTCCTTCCCCTCCTCTCCACCTATGATTCTTTAACTCATGTGACTCACCCACTACAACTGTGCAAGCACAGCAACATTATCTTTATTAAGGAGGAAATATCCTTTGTAGGCTTCTACTGTGTCCACAGAATTTAAATAAAAAAAGATAAAGTAATCCTTCAAAATTAAAACCAAAATAAAATTAATGAACTACTAATTTATGGCAGTTGTTGTGGTAATTTGTAATAATAATTGTAGAAAACTAAGTAAGCATATTTTTATAATCCTATAAAAATTTCTTCTCAATAAGCCATTACCTACATGTTCCAATATTAATGGATACTAATGTATTAAATCCTTTTTGTTTAAATAGAGTAACACCTACATCTTGATTTGACATGTCCCAGTAAGGTCTTTCTCCATAAGACATAACTTCCCACATGACTATTCCATAGCTCCATACATCACTGGCTGACGTGAATTTCCGGTATTGGATAGCTTCAGGTGCTGTCCACCTTACAGGAATTTTCCCACCCTATTATAAAAAGAAATTGACATTTTAAACATGTATAATAACTTATAAATCATTTATGGCAATACCAAAAAAGCTACTAATAAGTATTTGTATATGTGGTTGGTAAGTCAGCAGCATTAGGTCTATTCACCATGGATCTCTCTATGTGTATTTAAAGTTACTTATCTGTTTTTTAGAAACTCATTACAAGTTTTCATTTTTAAGGCAACTCAACTTAATGGGCCTTGTGTGGTCTTAGGGCAAGAGTCTAGTAAAAAGACAATGACAAATTAGGCAAAGTTACTAGTAAAATGGAATGAAATATGGGGTATTTAAATAGATCCTCACGTATTTTCTTTTTTTGTAAGTTCACAAAAGCTATAAGAATCAGCAGTTACTATTCTTTAAAAATCTTTATTTACATGTTTATATTTTTCTGCTACAGTTATGAGTGCTAGTAATTAGATGTTGTTGTATGTAACTGTGTATTATTTATATGAACATCCCAATATAAGGTAAGTATATTATAATTCTTCCCTTCTTAGCCTATATGTTGATTATAAAAATAAATACATAATAATTCTTCTAAAAGGGAAAAACAGCAACCACAAAAAGTTGAGCTCAATTTCCATCTTTTCCCCTATTTATTTTTGCTTTCTTGGTAGGAACATCTTAGGAATATGAAGAAGCACAGTAACAGACTTTTTCTTACAGTAGTTGTATAGACAGCTTCTGGATCATCCTCTATAACTCGGGACAGGCCGAAATCTGACACCTTACAAACAAGATTGCTGTTGACAAGAATATTTCGAGCTGCAAGGTCCCTGTGAACATATCCCATATCGGCCAAATATCTCATTCCAGCAGCAATTCCTCTCAGCATTCCTACTAACTGAATGACTGTAAATTGCCCATCATGTTTCTGCAGAAAGACACAAACGCAGTTACCTATACTTTAAAAGGGACAAAAATCACCATGAAAATGTCTACATACTAGTCATTTACCATTATATAATAGGAATTGTTAATTAATTTTCTATATAATACAGACACTTGTGAAAAAACATAACACAGGGTGATTTAACTGACAGCCAAATAAAATAAAATAGACTTTTGACAATTATTTAGTTACTTATATTAGTTTGTTATTTTAAGAATAATAGTTTGAGATTATACAAGTCCAAAAGTATAAGCTTTTAAGACAAAGTTAGGCAATGGAATACCCCCAAAATATTACCTATGACAGCTAAGTATTTTCCCCACATGGCACAAAAACTTATAAATAACCTAAAAACATATAAAGGAATGAATACAAATATATTAAGATTTTTTTCTCCAAATGGTACAAAAAGGAAAAGGAAACAGTTCTGAATCAAAATGAAGAGAAAGAAGTACAAAATGTTTATAGCACTGACTTTGTTTTCATTTCATTCCTTTCTTTGTTTTGCAATAGGTAGCAACATTACTTGAAACAAAGATTTCTCTAAGATAGATATACTAGCAAATGCGATTGAGAACTGTGTACAACCAGACTGGCCTCAATATATTTCTAATCCGTTGTTAACCCACAGATTTCTCTGAGTACAAACACGCTATATGAAGGATGATGATTTGAACTGATGAACTTTGTAGGTGATGCTCAAAAGAGCTGACAGTTATGCATATTATAATAATGCAGCAATGAAAGTTTCTCTAAATCCTGACTGCCTATAAAACTGAGTTGGATGTCATTCCAAATCATGTAAAATAACTTTATATGTCCTCTTATCTTTTAGATTATTTTCTCTTTGCCATTTGGAAAAAAATATTAACGTGTTCATATTATTAGGTGAAAAGCCTCTGAGAATAAAAATATTTATATTTATACATTTAAAATTTATCACTTACAAAATAATCACATACCATTAATTTAAAAAAAATGTTAGCAATTATGCATTTTATGCTCAGTGTTCACATAACAATATTATAGAATTAGCTCTACAGGGCAGAGTAGGATCTTAGTGTCAACATCAAATGGTTATCTCACTTTTTAGACTTCTCTGTATTTTTTCAATATTTCATTTACAATTGTATATGCTGTTCTACAACATGTATTCAAGTTACAGGGCTTCAGGAATCCTCTATACTTCAGGTAATGGTAGTGATGGAAACCATTTTTTTAAACCACATTGTGTCAATTAAATACTCAAGAGATTCCAGTTTAATTCAGTCTGGATCTCTGATTATCAATCTGATTTTCACAGACAATTTTCTGACCTCTTACACTATACACTGTTCAAATTTTACATTGCAAAAAAAAGTTCATGAAATTATATTGGCAGCATGCATAGTATATTTAGAATGGAAGGAAAATTCTGGTACTCACTCTGAGAAATGCATCTAGGGCTCCATTTTCCATGAATTCTATTATAATCATAACTGGTTTCCCTAAAATAAAAAAAAAATAAAAAAAAAATAAAAGAGAGAGAGAAAGAGAGAGAGAGAGAGAGAGAGAGAGAGAGAGAGAGAGAGAGAGAGACAATGTTGTTTCAGAAGCCATAACCTCAACTTCAGGGTTATTCCCTCTCTCACCTTAGATAAAACACATGGCGTTCTTCTGAAAGACCGCAAAGGTGAGATGTGAATGTTTCGAATGTTTCTAGTGTTGCTTTTAAGCTCAGAGTCATTAAATGTCTGCTTGTGATGGTCACAATTCACAAAATTAAACTGTACAAATAAAAGTCAGTGTGTTCTTCTGGCTCCTCCTTTGTGAGCAAAACTGAGAAAATGACACTTTATTTAAAATGTAAAGACTAAACTCTAACTTTTATGGCTCTGGAAGCTCACAAAAACATTTATAAGTTGTTCCATCTATCTATAAGATGTATTCTTCAACTCTAACCTTGTATTCATTTTTCCTGATTTTTCTTTTACTGAGGTGGTAGCACAAAAGAATTGTTTTATACCAAGAACATCATTGATTTGGAATATAAAATATGTTCACAATTTTACTTTTTAAAAAATTATGTACACAATAAATTCATTTCTGACAATTGGTCCATTTGATTAATAAAATTATAACTATATCTACCTCTTGTAACAACCCCTTCCAAATGGACAACATTTGGGTGGTCAAACTGCCCCATGATGCTTGCTTCACACAGAAAGTCTCTCCTTTGTTTTTCTGTGTAACCAACTTTCAGAGTTTTGATGGCTACCGCAACATCTCTTTTCCCTGGAAGTTTCAAACGACCACTGCAGACTTCTCCAAATTCTCCTGAAGTAACAGAACAAGCAGGTGTATTTTAATTTCTGAAATATTTCCTTTATCAAAGTAAATGCATTATATTCTTTAAAATCTTTTTTTAATAATACAGTATTTTCATAAATACTTTGCAAAGCTCTCCAAGTTATAATAAACACATTCCCATAGATGGGTGATTCTCTTTCCCAGACACAATGAAGTTGTTTAGGAAAATAATGGCATGGATGAAATTTTAGCTCATTCATAGAAGTTAAGCTTTCCTAAACTGTGTGGTACACAGACTATTATTTTTCAATGGGATTAACAAACATTCTTTCCAAGTCGACATTTAGATTTGAAATACACTGTATAACCTACACTGCCTACCTAAAAGATAAGGGCACATTATCAAATTCTAACCATTGCTACTGCTTTTAAAGTTTAAGAAGCAAATATTTATCAAAGATTTAAAAGAGTGGAATTTATATGCACTATATCTATTAGATTAAAGGGAATTGGATCCCAAAATGTATAATTATTATGAAAATACATTGTAAATATAGAAAAATAAAATTCCCTTTAAATAATTCACACACATTAATTTTCTACATAGATTTAAACAGTGCAATGGCTAATACCTACAAATATAAGAAAAAAAGGATAAAACGAACACTTTTCTAGAAAACGGTAAATCAAATAGGAGGAAATGTATATTCCAGGAAAATTCTGACTTTTTAAAAATACCACATTATTTCTTGAACAAGCCAGAATTATTATGAAATAGATTACCATAATTTTAAAAATCCAACAGAAAATCAAATATATAAGGATTCTCTGTGTCATATGCTTCTTTTCCACTATTTTTCTTAAGATTTCATAAACAAGTACAGCCTCATTGCTTTCAACAGTTCAGGTAAATGCAAAAGTTCTATTCTTAAGATATAATTATTTGCCTGTCATTATGATGTATGACTTTCGATTTTGGCTAAATGGAACAGCTGAACAAGGAAGCTACAACAGCCTTACCTGCACCAATCACACGCTCAATTTTAATACAAGAGGCATCTAGCTCCTTGGCGAATTGATGGACAGCTCTATTTGGGTCCTCATAGGTTTCAGGGTCAATGTAGGTTTTGGTGCCTGGAAATTTAACTGTAATGATGTAAGAAAGCATGACTGTGATGAAGCAAAGCACTTATTGTGCAGTCAGCCCAGGAATTTCATTATGCAGAGTGCTCCTTGGAACAGTGAACTTGCTTCCACATCACCTGATTCACAGCAGTTTTAACAGACTACTTCAGTCTGCTGGCGTACAGGTATTATCTGCAAGCTTCTATAGGTAGCATAGGATCCAGCTCATAGGTTACTAACTGAATTGCTTTTCCAGTAAATCAACAAAAGACATCCACCAAAATTTCTGACAGGCCTATCAAACTGGAGGTTTAATTAGATTCACTGCTATCATGGCACAGTTCAAGCCATACTGAGGTTTGTAATGGACTTGGAAACACATTTGTAAACCTATCAGTCAGTCAATCAAATTAATACACTGGGAAAAGAAGACATTTCATTTACAGGTAGCCCACTACGCTGACAGCAATATTAAAAACATTTAGACATCTTACTTATCTTTTTTATTTTTTAAAAGACCAACCACCATTGACATATACATAAAATTAATACAAGATGTGAGGGACTGCTATCACAGAATCAAAGAGAAATCTTCTAAAGACATAGTTTCGTCTTCACCTTGAAGGTCAATAGAGGCCAGATGTACAAAGTGCAGAGTAAAGTTAGAAAATTGACAATATTCCTGGGATCTGTTAACCAAGTATGACAGTGATTTGAAAGAGGAATGGTTTATATGAACTTTCAATTATAAGGCTTTGGAAGATCTTAACTGCTATGAGGAGGTAGCCGATATGCCTCACAAAAGGTAGTCAAAATTCAAACAACATAGAATCATCTTAAAAGTTTCTTCTTAAAATGCACCTAGAAACATGCAGGTAACAGAAAATGCTATATCAACTTTATATTCAATTTCATTACAATAATGTATTCGAAATCTAACCATTTGGTTAAAGACAGAGATACGATAGATAGGCATATATTTGATTATATTAATGCAACAAAAAAAATTACACTATATCCTCATAAAAACTTTATTGTTTTTAACAAAGCCACTGAACAATCTTTCCATTAAATCTTACTATTTAGAGAACAATATATTTCTTTATATATTACACTGCAGCCTAACTGTGCTTATGTCATCACATTAAAATTATATTTTAAAAAGAAACGCGCAACAAACAAAAAGAAGCAGAATGTATAAAGGAAAATGGAATTTAAAAATCTTGATTTATTTTGCTGTAGTTGATTGTTTATCCAAAATTGATTGTCTTAAACAATTATTGTTGCAGTTTATAAAACTGACAGATGCTCATTTGTTACTAAAGCTGAACATGAAAAAAAAACAACACAAGAAGAAAAGAGAGAGGGTATAGAAAGAGAAAAGAGAGAAGAAGGGGTACAGGGGAGGGGAAAAGAGAAAAAGAGAGAAGGGAAGAAAACAATAGGTTAACCTCCTAGATTGGCAGGCAGATGGAAAATGAGCCATCTTCTCCTTTTTTATTCTCTCATTGTTTTTTTTTTTTTTTGGTTTTGTTTTTTTATAAGGGAGCTAGATTGGAGGTAACCTTTTGCATCTCAAATGGGTCTCGGATGGTTCTTTATTCAAGCTGTCATAAAACATTTTGACAGGCCAGAGCAATTCTGGCATAAAAACATGAAATACTGCCCAGCTTGGATTCAAAGACATTGTTAGAAGACATGGTAGGAGGAAACAAAATGCAAATTGGAATTTCTTCACTAAACTCCTCCATTGTGTTTATACCTTTAAATGTAGCACTTGGGGCCATAGAGAGTTGAGGGCACCTGATACAAATGACTGGACATTCTATTAAATTCAGTGCAGTGCTCTAAAAGCTAGTTAAATGGTTGCTTTCAAGTTTCTGTAAAAATTCAATCTGGTGTCTTAGCACCTAGGAAAATTGTCAGTGTACTAAAGGAATAAAAGGACACCAACTTGTAAATAGCTGGTGACCATGGTGTTGTACTTTATGTATTTTAGATAAAGTCATAAAATAAAATAAAATGCCTGATTCTCATCAAATGACAACAAAAGGCATCCTTGCAAATAGGATTTACCAAGAGATTATTTGTTTACGTGTATTTTATTTTTTCATTACTCATTTAAAAGTGAATGTTTTAAAATAATGAAAATATTGACATAATTTCTGAATATTCTGGTTTGTTGCTAATCCCAACTTAAGGGTATGAGCTTTTTTTGTTTTAATATCTCATTTACATTTCTCATGAAAGTTAAATATCTTATAACCACCACTGATATTTTACTCTAGAAATTAAAACTGTTTATATACAGCAAGTTTATCTTATCTATATTATCAGGTAAAACATACAGCTTTTTTTTTCTGATTACAAACTGGATATGAAATGTAAAAAAAGTGAATGGCATTAAAATATTAAAACCAAGTGATGACAATTAAGCATAAGGCTATGCAACAAGTTTTGGATAAGCCATGTTTCAATTTACCTTTGGCATTTACCTGCAAGTTAAAAGCAAATAAACTAAATGTATTTGATAATTTTGGGATGTCTCAGATATACTCAATAAATGAAAGAAATGTGACACACTGACTATGGTAATATTAAATAACTGTGCCATAAATTATTCACATATAGGTAGGAGCAGGGATTCTAGGAACTATGATCTTATGTTACTCATATACATTTAACACTAGAAATAAAAAATTAAGCATTCAAGTTTTGATCCTCTCCTTCCTGTCTGGTGAAAAATATTCTCTCATAAAAGAGAAAAAAAAATGGAACCTCCACTTTTTCTGTATATCTTCTTGATGTAAACTGCTCTCATCACTGAGGATTGTCACAGGACAATCACTTGTCAAATTAGCAAAAGGAAGCTCCAATATTGGAAAAATCAAATAATCCCAGGTGAGGTAGCAAAAATCACACATGTTCAGTGATAATCAAGGGCAAATTCAAGTTTTGTGAGGCTTGAAACTTACGCAATTTGGGATACCCTTTTTAAGAAAAAGAATATATGACCATATACACAAAATTGCTGGACATTCTCAGGCCTTCAAAAAAATTCCTTGAAAGTGAGGGGCCCTGGAACATAAACTTCATAATAAAGCCATCTTTGGCCATACCTTTTACTTTAATTTGTAGTGATATGTAGTATCCCACATGCCCTTCCTGCCTTCAAAGCTTGGAATTCTATGAGTTTCATGTTCAATTAGGATTTGTATTATGTAAAACCACTTCTCTTTCTAAATTAAAGTCAAGGTAAATGTTGATTCAACAAATATAAACAGATTGAAGAAATACAGAAATAATAAGAACATTCACAAATTGTGAATTTAAACTACACATTTTCATTGGAATTAAAAAAAAGGCTGATGAGGAAATTCTAAAACAGAATAGGAATTCCTGATCGATGATGAGATATCCTTATGACTTTAGGATGGGTACATAATATCTTCTTAGACAATGACATAAGAATCAGATAAAAAATGCAATAAAATTTATAATTCTTATGCCGTTTATAGGAAATTTATGCATCAAAAATTTAGTATAGAGTACAGCTACTAAGCAAAATACATAAAATTGGTTTTTAATATTTTCAAGGATTAAAAACAGGAATAATGGGCTTGGGTAACAGTATAATTAATTATCAGAATGGAAATTATTTGATTGTTAGATTTTGATTTTGCCTGCATAAAGTAATAACATTTACCTGCATGGTTCTCATTTTCACTTGCTATTCACATTGCAAAAATAATAGGTTTAATGCAGATGGACGTCTATTTTCTTTGGCTCCGTGAGCTTTCTTCTGACTATGATTTCTAAGATGAACTTTTAAAAATCAGAGGATTTAATCCTACTATTATACTATTTATGCTCCATGAAATATCTATCAGTGATAATTTATAGTAGCTGAAGACAAGGAGGCTCCTTAGCTTGTATCACTAGCTGGGCGGAAAAAAAGGGCCTATTCTTCTATCTTGAAATGATGTTCCTTAGCTAGAACATGGGCGCATGCAACATTTAATAGATTATTATTAGAGTGCTAAGAAACACTTGGGCAAAGTTTTCAAAAGGAAAAATTATGATGTAAAAGCAGCTGAATATTATGTAAGTTATATTACATTTCTAAATATATTTTATTTTTACAAATTCACATCACATGACATTCATTCTAAATATCTCATTCAAATGTTTTCTAACAACATTTGAGTTCATTATCTAATTTCAAGAAGGATGCATGAGGATTTTGTTCATGCCAATATTGATAACTGTATTAATTGGGGTACATAATAATAAAGAAAAGCCAAACACTTACAATGAAAGTAAAGTTCTTCATCCCCTTCTTGGTCAGCTTTGCTATAACCACAGTGCCTGGAATAAAGCAAATTTGTGACAATCTCAATAAATAATCTTACCTTATTTAAAATTCAGTGTAATGTACCTCAGTTTTTTTTTAACAACATAGTAGTTAGAGCTATAAGCAAAATACAAAAACCTTCCTGTTCCATAATTATTAACTAATTTAGTAATAATATAGCAATCCATATGATTTTAAAAATGCACAGAAAACAAAGTTTTTGTGTGAAAAAATGTAAAGGGAACGCTTTGTAAATTTAGATTTATCAATGAGTAAATATTTGCTTACATCTTTTCTGAAGGAAACAAACAAACAGATTTTAAGTGATTTCCACAGACTCTTAAATAACTAAAAGAGTAAATCTTTCCCCAGGTATCTTCTAAATTAACAGATTTTAAATGATTTCCACAGACTCTTAAATAACTAAAAGAGTAAATCTTTCCCCAGGTATCTTCTAAATTTACTATGAAACACTAACTCTGAAAATAACCAGTAAAAATTCACTCAGTAGAAATTACAACACTCATTCCCGTTAAACTAAGGACAGTGATCAAACTCATACTGTATTTTGATCTTGGGAGAATGACAATTTATTGACCTTTAGTGTTTTATATCAGACGAAGAATGTTTACATTTACTATTTAAAACTTTAATATACTAAATCAATAAACAATAGGCTGACATAATTCTGAAATATCAATATATTTTGTGTTAGAGATTAGATCAAATTTGTGTTGTACCTTCTTCCAATGATGAAGCCAAAGACCATGAACACCAAAATTATGGTCCCGGCCACAGCAACCACAGCGATTATAATAACAGGATTTTGTTCACTTGAGACGGCTGTAGCTGTAAATAGAGGAAACGGGTTCAGAAACATTGATAACACGCAAGAACGTGAGAGGCTAAACAAGAGATATCTCTTTTATTTAATTCACTTCTAATTTTAAATAAATGCACTATACTATAACCATATAAATTTAAATAAATGTTTATTTCTGCATTTTAAAGCAGTGATTAGGACAATACTTGCACCTATTTTATATATCTTGGCTATAAAAGAAACCCATCAATTTCTTATTGAATGGCTATATCCCTACTTAGTCGTTGGAGGCTTAGTTATGCATCCAGAGGTAGAAACACTTGATTTGCAAATGCTATTGAATACCTCTGTTCCTCAGCAAGGCATGTGATAACTCTTTGTCTTTATTTCTGGTATGTAAAATAGTAACCAAAACACATACTCCATGTATTTTTAAAGCACTTTAATATACATTGAATGCTTTGTCTCCTGTTCCTCAGCAAGGCATGTGATAACTCTTTGTCTTTATTTCTGGTATGTAAAATAGGAACCAAAACACATACTCCATGTATTTTTAAAGCACTTTAATATACATTGAATGCTTTGTCTCTTACATCATCAAAATAGAATAAAAAACATCATGTAGTCATGGTAAAGCATCATGAATTTATAGTTCACTGTAATTCTGAAAAAAGATAAGCTGAATTGCTGGTGCTAATTTTCATAAAGTATGCAGTAACCAGATTTGAGAGTTTAAGATTATAAAGGAGCTAGCTTCTTTATAAAAGAGAAAACTTTCTGCAAGTATGTTAAAAAACACTTTATCATTATCTAATTGTAAACATTTCTTGTACAATACTAAGTGATTCTTCTATGCTCATTAAGGCAAGCCCAGCTGGACCTTTCTGAGAGTCTCTTTGGGAACAAGTACATATTTACATGTCCTTTAAAACAGCTTCTGATTCAGAATTCTTCAAAGTAACATGAACTTATCACTACTATTTTTTTCGAATTAGTAAAGTTTTACTTATATGGTAATTCACAATTGTCAGATTTTCCCCATAGGATTATATTTTCAATACCAGCATAGACTTCATAAAATCATCAAAGACACACAAAATAATAAAAATGTATATTCTTATAAATGATCCAGTTGCAAATATTATATAATATATAATATGAAACTAATATAGTTTGCTTATTCTGAAACAATCAACAGCTGTACTCTTTTATTTAAAGCAGGATGGAAAAAACCACTTCTTGTTGGTGGCAAGGGACTGGGTCTCTAGAGTAGGAAATCATATGTAGGCAGAGTATATCTCACCACAATAGGCAGCATAAAATTCTTTTCTGATCGGCCTTTCTCTAGTTTATCTACGTCTGTCTCATTTTGACAACTTATCTCAATTTTATATACCTATGCTAACAAGAGAGAGCTCCTACACTGAAAAATAGTAAAAATAACTGGTTTAATAGATAGTTTCTCAACAAAGGTACTATATACACTTCCTAATTTATCACCTGCTGATTTGCTCCCTGAGGGAAGTAAACAAAGGTTAAAAAAAAAAAAAAAAGAAAACTATTCCAAGTTTTAATTTCTAAATTACAGCATATTATCACACAACAGAGAAAAGAGGACTTCAAGTATTGTTCGGTAGTTTTTTGTTTTTACCTGCATATACATATATTTATAAAGAGAGGAAAAGGAATGGAGTTGTTCTACTTATGAGGAAGGAAAAATTATACACATGTGTGTAGAAATTCTTTCCATTCAATCAGTGTGTCCCATGGGTCTAATTCTTTGCTTGTCTTAGGCTCAGTTCTTCCCTTAGCTTTAGAAATGGAACTCCAATGAGAAAACTTAACTTAGGTGAATGATGAATCAAAATTTATATTTATGTGTTTTTATATATAGTCAGGGTCATACTTTAATCTTTCCATAGTTGACATTTACAGTTAATATTTTCATCTGTTTCATGGGCAATACATTTTTGAACTAATTTTTAAAGGCTATACAGAACACCATGGTTTAAAAATTGTAAAAACAGTAGATTTGACTCTGTATCGAAGGGGATTTTAAGATGTATGTGCAATGGTATGGACTGTTTAACTTGTGTTTTCAAACGATGCTGGAGTGACTTCTTTTCGGCAGCATCTGCCCTCCTGCCCTGCTTCCTAGCACAGTGACTCACTGTTCCCTAACATGCTGATAACTTTGGCCCATGCACTGTACCAGTATTTAATTGTGTGGCCAGAATCTGTGTACCTGTCTGTCTTTTTCACTGCACTTTCAGCTGACAGCACCAACTGTGCCATCTAACTCTTAGCATCCCTAACTCTTAGCACAGTATCTTGTACTAACTCAGTGTTTCTTAGAGGGTAGTCTGGGAATCCCTGAGGGTCCTCAAGAGCTTTCCAGGGAATCTGCAAGATCAAACTATTTTCATATAATACAAAGATGTTATTTGTCTTTTTCATTCTCATTTGCTCACAAGAGCACAGCTGAGTTTCCAGAAGCTACATGACTTGTGAAATGTCATCACTAAATGTCTAATGTGTTTATGTAATATGTTTTTAAAGTTTCAGTTTTAACTTCTAATGTGATGAAAACTGGAATATATAACCCACACAAACAAAATCTTTTTGAGAGTCCTCTGAGATCCAAAAGTTTGAGAAAGGTTGTTTTACATAATAAGAGTTAATATATATATATTAATAAATACTAACTTAATGTAAGTTAATAATATATATTATATATATTATAATATATAATAAGAGTTAATAATAAGTTAATATACACAAAGTACCTAGTACAGTGTCTATACTTGACACTCATGCTAGGCACTATACTTGGCATTTTGTGTATATTAACTTATTTAATCCTCAGAATACCCTATGAGTAGGGTACTACTATTCTAGAATTTAGTGTACAGAGAAGTAGCTCATTCAAAGTCCTACAACTGGACCTGGCAAAACTGAGATTTGAAACCAGGCATTTGTCTGCTGGCATTGACAGTTACTTAATACTGAGTTCTACATTGATGAGTGTGTGGTATTCATTCACTGCTCATTTACTGAGTGCCTTCTACGTGCCAAGCACTGCAGTAGGCACTGGCAAGACAACAGTAATTTAAAAAAAGATATGGATCCTTCTTTCATCAACATTACATTCCAGTGACAGAGAATATTCTGATGATAAAAAAAAATCACCAAATTCTTTCTAAAGCAAAAATCCACTTACAACATTCATTTCACATGATCATTCAGGTTCTACTACTTCAACTTATTCTCTGAGGCTTAATTATTTCTTTTGTAAATAATGAAAAGAACATCTATTAATCTCAGCACTCAATAAATAATAGTTTGGTCCATATTCTCAATTTACAAAGTAAGGAAAAGCCACAAATTCATTTTGGAAGTTTTCAAACCTAAATGTGAGATAACTAATTGATGTTTCTAGTTTAAGTTTAAACTATTCATTATAATATGAATATTAAAAACAAAAAGTAAAAATAAAAAAATGAAAAAAACATAATTTGAAGTGTCTTATTTATTATGTTAGAAGTCATAAAGTGATATCATGAGATCAGTCTGAGTTGAAAACTACCAGAACAAATTTTAACCCTTGACCACTCAAATGTTTAAATGTTGAAATCTTAATCTAAAGTGCTTTATGTTTTGGGGGCTAGTAAATTTAGATACTGCCATTTTTGGTCTTACATTCTCCATTCAAAAATATTTTGAAAGAAGAATATTGTATAGTTAATGCAAAGGATATTTATCAATTTACTCTACCTTTTAAAAGATCTATAAAAGTGTTTCTCTGAAGTCAAAATAACTCTTTAATAAAACTATATTGATTAAATTTGTTTAGAAACATTTTTTTTAAATTGAGAAAAGAGAATCATACAACATTTTTTTAGGAGAATCATATAACATTTTTTTAAAACTCACTATTATTTAGAATTTTGTAGGAACACTAGATTTGCAAGAAGATGAGGAGGTAACAGTTGGATGAACCTTGTTGCCTGAATAGTAATGTCATGAGGAATCAAAAACTCAAAAATAAAGAAACACACGGAGACCTCAGCCTAGCTGAAGAGCAACCAGCAGTGGCACTCAAGGTGTTCTGAACATGCACTCTAACAGTAAACTGTGACATGCATCCTGACATACACACCTGTTTATTTATTATATACTGTATATATTTTTACTACAATATTGTGTTCCATTATAAAACATAAAATTATAAAGGGGCTTCTTTGATATTTGGTTATATTCTATTTTTAAGCTGAGTGATGGGAACAGAGATATTCATTTAATTATATTCTTTAAATTTCATAGACACTTTAAACATATTCTTTAGCATGCTTAAAATATTTCATAACAAAAAAGGACAAATGACAAAAATAAAAAGAAATACAGGTTTTAAGATCTTTCTGAACTCCAGTTTTTGAAATCATTGCTAAAGGGCAAGTAGCTTAAATTAACACAGGTTCTTAGATCCTATCTTTCTCTTGCCCACCCTAGTATACATCCTGGCCTCATGTGGGAGTTTCTGTGAAGTAGTTTTGATGAACACAATTAGAGTAAGATCATTTTGAGGTTTACAGACACATCTTGTGTCAACACACAAATAGAATGAGTCCTGCTTCTGTTTCTAACTTTACCTTTTTTTTTAACAAAAATACATTATATATATATTATGAATATATTAAAGAATATAGATCATTCTTTATATATATTATATATTAAGATATATTAAAGAATCTATATATTATATGTAATATATATTATATTAAAGAATATAGATCATTCTTTATATATATTATATATTAAGATATATTAAAGAATCTATATATTATATGTAATATATATTATATTAAAGAATATATATTCTTTTATATATAAAAGAATATATTAAAGAATCTAATTTATATGTAAAGAATCTAATTTAAGTTGTAAGGTTCTAGCATTGCTAAATAGGTAAGCAAATTTTAAATTATTATTCTGAACAACATTTACAAAGTGCATATACATGTACATATATGTTTATATATAAAAAATATTTTGATGCAAATCACTCCTATATTGACAAAAAATATGCCAGTATGTGTATACAGTACATACACAGTATGTGTGTATATATGCCAGAGTTATTGAGTGTAAGAAGCCAAACCAAAGTTGGTAATTACCTTCAAACATTTTACCTGTAGCTTCCTCTAGTGTAGCAACATCAAGTCTGGGACTGTAATTTCCATAACCAGCAGCAGTAAAAGCCCGAATCTGGAAAACATACACTGTTCCTGGTTTCAAATTATTAATGGAGGCAGAAGTGGACTTGGTTTTTACTGTTGAGTAAGTCCGTTCCCTTTGATCCTAGAAACAATATTTACAGGTAATATTTAATTGTGATTGCAACCAGACAACTTGACAGTCAATTCTTGCAATTTACTTCAATTTGCTGCATTGTTTTTATAGAGGCTACATTTTACCTTGTGGAATATTACAGCATTGAGTTGTTTCTAAGACAATATAAAATGTAAATGGGAAAGGTATGCCTTTGTTCTACAAATTTCAAAGAGAAATAATATCGTTAAAACTTTTATGGTATTCTGAGCTTCTGCTTTGTCAGGACAGGGCACAATGGCAGGACCTATTTAGCCATAATACAAATTGATCAAAACGTGGGTACACCTGTAAAATCTATGGTTTAAAAGAGGTCTTCATGTCATAATGTAGTTCTCTTAATTTTTTCCTGAATGTTATTTAGCAAGCAAAATGCCATATGCTAACAATGTAGAAAGTTATTAAATCAGTTAACACTATCACCACACTGACATATCAATTATTTTTAATAAAAGCCACATTTCTCACAGAATAAAACCACATCTGCAAAATAGTATTTAATGAAATATTTTTACATTAAAATTTTAAATATGAAAGTTAAAATATTACATGGTTTATGGTTTGACAATATTTTAAACACCATTTAGTTCAATCTCCTATTTTGATGTGAAAACTGAGGCTTGCAGAGTTTATTAAAATAATGAAGTCACATTTTTATCATCAATTTTTCATCCTCTAAGCATTAAACATATTTTTATATGTGTATGTGTGTATGTAGGCATATATAAGTGTAAGAATAAAATAAAAAATTCAAGCATATAAAAACTCCATCAAAATATTTAAATAAATAAAAATTCAAAGCTTCACTGATGTGATTCTCATAGGCTATTTATGAATAAAAGTTATAAAAAATTATACTTCAAAATATCTAATTTTAGACAGTTCTTATTTATCCTATAATAAATATCTTTGTTCAACTTTCTCTGACAATAAAATTCATAGAAATCTTAAAACGTCAGTCTGACTTTTTGATTTGCCTTCATGCAGATGTCTGCATATATACTTAAACCTGATTTAGTGAAACTGAACTGTGACTGTCTTCATTATAATCATTTATAAAAATGACAGTTGGTATTACATGTATTTATCTCAAGTAAAAAACTAGTCATAACTCAGATGACACAACAATATATAAATCACATGCTTGCATATATTACAATAAAATATAATGCAGTACTGCTACTGTCTTCTAATAATTGCACAATTTGTGAATTTAATGCTTAATGTAGATACATTCTGTTTGTCACACAAAATAAAAAATAACAATTCCAGAGCAAGAATTTGCAAAATATTTCAGATTTTCAACATATTTCATATTTGCATTGTGAGAAACTTTACTCTCATTGCCTAACTTATATTTAAAAAAAATGTGTTTTATTGCTTTTGAAATCTGATATAATTTCATGAAGGACTGTTAGAATTCACTGAAAAACAGATATAACAAAAACCACATTAAAAACAATGTTCCCCTATCAAACACATTTGGTGGGACAAGAAATATATTCCCTGGTACAAAAATGAAGCATACAAAATGCAAGTGTGGCCATGAAGTCATGAAGTAATAATGCAAATAATAAGCAAAATTATTTTAAACTTAATCTAAAAAATTAGCACTAACTTTATTTTAAACTATGTTTTTCTTTGAAGAAAAAAATGTATCTATTACCCATGTACTGTATGCATTTCAATTTATTCAATTAATTCAACACAGCCCCATAGTTTTTCCAAAGCGTTAGGCCCCCATTTTGTAATTCTGTCTAATGGTTAAAATGGGTATGTACATTATAGCACTTCAGCCAACTAAGTTAATAGTAGTAACACTTATTATTACTATTACTTTAATAATGGTAATAGTTTCTGTGTTTCAAATCTTCAACAAGATCTTTCTGTAGGTGGGACCTGGATAATAATTTGTGAACAAGTTATACATATAAAATTAATATAATATAAAAATAATATATATTTGTATTTTTTCTCCTCTCCAAACAAAACAGAAATATATACACTCATATACTCAGATGTATCACTATTGACTAAAATTTAGTCATTATATGGAGATTAAAGGAGTAGCACCTGGGTTTCAGCCATATGATTTTTCATGTAGGGAGAGGTGTAAAGAACTGGTAGACACTATTAGCATAACGTATATGAGATAAACTTCAGGAAGAATTTAAAGGAGTGAAATATCACCTGATTCTTAAGAATACTACATATTTATTATACAAAATACTCTTATTTTTTTAAATTTCTAAATTATTTGAGGGTATCATCATTATCACCGAAATTGCATAAATTAAAGAAATCATTATGAGCCTAAACAGACAAACTAAATAAAACTGTTTCCAAAAATGCATTGGGGCTGTGTGGTTTCTGTGGTACTATAACATCCTACATCTAATTATTATGATATCAAAAACTGATTAAATAAATATACAAATGGAATATTTTCATTTATGTAACACAGAAACTCAATACATAGAAATCATAATTATAATGATGAATCAGAGACTCAGGGAGATGATTACTAAAAATGACTAAAATTAATTACGAAGTTTGAAGAAGCTCCAGATAGTTGGCATAATGACCAACCTCAGTCTACAATACAGCAGGATGACACAAGACACACCGCACATTGCTGTACATTTCAGCTGCTCTTAGCACTTACTTTCTCGTAATACTTGATTTCATATTCTGTGATGACTCCATTGGGATGCTCTGGTTCCTGCCAGGAAAGCTCGACACTCCGCTGCAGCACTCTCTCCTTCATTACTCCGCTCACTTGCGAGGGAGCTGTTTGGACAAGATGTGTCAATAAACAATGAGAAAATTCACTGGATGCCTCAAATCAAATGTCACAACTGATCAGTCCCATGCTGTGCCAGTTTCATTAAGGTAAAAGAAAGCACCTTTTCATAGCTCACAATTCAGAAGCTAATGAATATTCAAACAGGACCTTATTACTGTTCATAAACCTTAATAGAAATTTAAATTAAAGTGCAAACAGCAGAAGATAGCATTGTTCAAGTTAGTGAAAAATGGAAATGATGGGCTGAGAATGACAATTAAGCAAATAAATGCTAATTAAGGCTAGAAAATATGATTTCAGATTAATCTCCAGTTATAAACTAAGTCTAAATATTTATTTCAAAAGCAACAGCAATTACAGTTTTTAAAAGAAAAATAAATAATTTAATACTATGCCAGAAAAAGTATATGGAATGACTCCTTTAATATTAAAGGGATCACACTGTTTAAAACGTTTTTATGTTTCACTTCTATATGTGTGAGTGTGTGTGTATTCCCAAAGAATTCCAAGTAATGTTGGAAAAAAATTTTGTACTTTATTAGGTCAACCTCAAGGAAATACAAATGCTGCTACTAGTTAAAATATATGCATGAACACACATACACTCACATACAGACAATGTAACCTAGGTTTCAAGCTTTGATAGCAGCAATTTGAAGCTACAGTCTTACTTTCTCTTTCTATATAGATAATAATATGCTTAAAGTTCTTTCATTCTAATTAGTGGCATATATTCTTTCTGGTAGCTAAGACTGTGGAATGTAGCAAACTAATTTGCTCTGTCTAATTTGCTCAGTGATGATTAACTAGTTGTCTTCTCTGTCTAAATGAGTAGCAGCACTGGCTTGGCTGAATTTCAGTGGGGTCATTATGTTCCATGTATCATGCTCTATCTCATTCTGTAAAATATTTTCAGACTGTTAATCTAATTTTCAGACATCCAAAATTGTTAATAATCCTGCTGACAGAAAAGCAATTACATGGGGCCTAAGCTGTTTAATCAACCTTCTGATGTTTATCCCTTTGGCTTTATTTTGTTTCCTCTACTTCTTAATATTTTCCTTTATCAATGTCTAGAACACACATTTTTCACTTCTTTCTGACTTGGCAATTTTGAAGAAAGGACATGGAAGAAGCATGACTCCTATTTCCTCCCAGATTACCAACAAAAGCATAACTAGGGCAGATTAAGTGAGACAACTTTCCCTTCAAAAGGTTGCAGCTGAAGTACTCAACAGACTGTTTACAGACTAAATGAATTTCTGATATGTTTTCCATGAATCAAATTTCTAATAAGAAAATTTTTTTCTACCACAACTTTCCAAACCTGAATATATGCAGCAAAGAAGAAATTGTCTCTAAAGTGGATATGTGTCTCCATCCAGAACAGGCTTAGCACATTTTAGCAGACTGTGATGTTCAAGAGACTGCTTCCTTAGGCCATAGCCTTGGGAAACATGAACACCAAGTAATCCTGAGGTGCGATCCTATTGAACAAATAATCTCTAATGGTCTAAATTACTTAACAAAATCATTCAGAAAAATCTATATTTTAACTTTAATTGGTAGAATAAGAAAAAGAAATGCAGTACAGGTGAGAATACTGCAATGATCAACATAATGTAATTTACCCAAAAGGGCTGCTGGTCTATGATCAGGGTTTACAACTTATGTGTGCCATTTGAAAATAGGTTAGAAGGAAATCAGTTAGAGAGCTAGTATGTGTAAATCTCCAGGTCTCTTTTAAATAACACGCATAGCTTAATGTGATTTTCAATATAAGTCAAACTATGACCTTTTACTTGGTTTCTGTCCTTAAGTACTATGGTGAGGGGCAGAAGACACTTCCAAGGTATGGAAGAGACTTGGGGATACAAATCTACCTCATTTAGTTTCCGACACATTAAAGCAAGACCTGGGTATAAAATGGGACTTCATTTCTGTAAGTTATACATCAAAATTACATTCATTTTTTTCATCCTGGAAAAGAACTTTTACAAATACAATTATAGTAATTGGGAAATGGGGAACAGAAAGGCACCTAAAAATACATTTTAATTATATAAAATTTTGAAACTCATATCACAGCACTAACAGTGCAGTATGCTACAATATATTTTCCTTCTCTCACATAAGAAGCTATATCTGATAATGACTACATTCCTGATTTCTTGGATATTTCTTTTTTTTTAAATCACCTGCTGACACTATATCAAGTCACATGTTTTAAGAGGGTCAGATTGAAGTACTAGCACATGGCCCTTGAGAATGGATAAACTGCATGATATGCAAAATCTTTGTTTTATGTCCTTCAAACACATTTGGTACAAGAAAACTTGTTATATTTTCCCTTGAGTTTCAATAGGCATACAGGATGTACAATTCACAGGATATATGCAGCTTATAAACAAAAACATCTCTAACCTAGTCAGATTCTAACAATGTCATTATTTTCAAATAAAGTTATACATTAAAGCAAATTTGAAGTGGCATAAAGGTAGGCTAATCTAAAAACACAATGATTTCTATGGTTAATATATTTGATCTACTAAATTAATCACATCATACCAATTTTACTAGGAATGTGCCAAAATATTCAATTAACTATAATCTGTAGTTCATTTCTGAAAAGAAAATGTAAACGACTAAATTACATGCATATTTAAGAAACAATTAGGTGTTATGACATTTAAAGTATAATTTTCATAATTATCAAATGAAATTAAATATACTGCAGTTGGAATTGATGTGAAACTAATAAAGAATAACCAACAATAATAAAAGTCCCTGAGTTAGAAAATGTAGAAAAACAAATAAGAGGAACTTTTTGACATGAATTTTGAGTAGGACTTCTAATGAATAATTAACAGATTTATTTCTCATCTAAGTTTCTAGAAATATTCAAATATAAAAATTGTTTTCAACTAAAGAAACAGATGAAACTTTTTTTCACTTAAAGATCTTCAAGACTTATCGGGACATAAGACATAATAATTAAATAAAATATCAAACAGACTAAGCCATGAAACACATTATTATTCGTATTTGGAATCTTCATGAAAGACAATGAAAGATAATCTTAGGAAATTCAGAAATGGTTTCCATAGTTCAAATGGTAAATTTCAACAGCATAAAAATGAAGTTGATAAAGTTGATGAAACAGGAAAGCGAAAGTCTAATGACAGGCAGAAAAGTAAATTTGTGGGCTGGTTTGTTAGTAAGCGACTCTGAATTGAAAAATAATCAGTAATAAGAATGATAGTTTAATGTAAGGATGTGAAACAATTAGCATTTTATAGATTTTGAGCTTCAAACACTCCTATGTGGTGATTTTTGATCTTAATCAATTTCCAATTAAAATCCAATTATAAAAAATATATTTAAATTACACATTGGACTATATTCTTAAGTGCTCCATTCTTCCCTCTAAAATGTTAAGCTTACCTGTATGTACAGGGAAATTTTCTTATCATAAAGCGGAGAAAAAATGAAGCACAGCAGGCAGAATGGCCCCCCAAAGATGTCCATACTCTAATCTCTGGAACATGTGAATGTGTAAATTACATGGCTAAAGGGACATTGCAAATGTAATTAAGGCTATAGTCTTTAGAATAATACAAAAAAATTCCTGAATTTTTCTCAGAGGGCCCAATCTAACCATATGAGCCCTTAAGGGCAGAGATGTTTCTCCAACCAGGGTCAGAGAGTTGCTGCAGAAGTCAGAAGGATTTGAATTGTGAGAGGAAATCAACCTGTTATTGCTGGAAGGAGCCACATGGGAAACAGAAGAATATATGGGGACAGCCTTTAGGAGTAAAGGCTGACAGGCAGGGAAATGGAGACTTCAGTCCTCCAAGCACAAAGAAACTGAATTCTGCCAATAACAGGAATGCTTGGAAGTAGATCTTCCCCAAAGCCTCCGAATAGGAGCCCAGACCAGCTGACAACTTGATTTCAGCCTTGTGAGACTGTCAGCAGAGGATCCAGCTGAGCCTTGCTGTGCCCAGACTTCTGACACACAAACTGTGAGATAATAAATTAGTGTTGTTTTAAATTGTTCTGGTAATTGTGGCAGCAACAGAACACTAATAAATACAGTAAGGAGAAAAGTAGACCTACTGAGTCAGCAGAGGATCCAGCTGAGCCTTGCTGTGCCCAGACTTCTGACACACAAACTGTGAGATAATAAATTAGTGTTGTTTTAAATTGTTGTGGTAATTGTGGCAGCAACAGAACACTAATAAATACAGTAAGGAGAAAAGTAGACCTACTGAAATTTTTATGAAGTCTATGAAAAAAGGTTAGTGATAACGCAGTTTAATAATATGATATATCAAACTTCATGTTGAAATAGCATGGAGTCAAGGAATATTGTTCTTGATTAAGACCCCAAACACAATGTTTTATAGAAAAGAAATTTCCGTTACACGTTTTGAAGAAACATATTTTTTTTTGTGGTGGAACTTTAATGAAGCTCATGAGTCTCATTTTGGATTTAACAAGTAATTTATTTATACCAGTCATCATTTTCCTTGCACTTTTGTTCTAACCTAATTTCAACAAAGAATGAAGTGGAAAAATGTATTTGTATTTCCAAACAATACAGTGAGGTAAGATGGGTCAACAAGCATGAAATGACCTTTCCTCATGCATATCAAGTTGTTAAATCTATTGACACGTTTGATTTCTACTAGGTAAATATAAAAAGTGAAAATGAAGCCATCTTTAGAACACAGTCAAAGATAAATCTGATAATAACAGAATCATAGTCTTTTACTGAATACTTTTGTTGCTATTATTATAAGTATGAAATTCATTTTTAACAATCCTTTGAAATAACAAACGTGTATTATTAGGAGCTTAGTATTTTCTAATACACAACGTTCAGCTTTCTTAATCTTCCCCACAGGTGTTTTCATTTTTGCACTATAGGACATATATATAGACACACATATAAATTTATTTCAATAACAAAACATTAGGC